TGGATGATGTACTTTCCCAGAAAACCTAGTTACAGTTTTACCAGTGACAAAAAAAAATAAAAGGGGGGGAGGGTGGATGGAGTCTGGAGGGGTAAATGGTCGAATCATTTCTTGCCCTAACCAGAAAATGCTGTCTCGAAACGGATTACATTACAAGCAAAGAAGCTTAAGGTGTCCTTTTTGTTTCATCCAAAACGGTACCAACAATTTACCGTGAGAAAGGACCACAGCATGATTCACGGTTTTCCACACATCCTACAGTAACCTACCATTCAGGTTTGATCTCTCCAGACTTATCTACTGACCTTTCCATACAGAAAGATATTGAGAAGCATCGCAAGGGCTGTGTTAATCATTCTTAAACTTGCGTGCTTGCAGCTTGTTTTACTCTGTATATTTAACTTGCTTTAAAAAAATCAGCATAGGTTGTTACACAAACAAAAGACGTACTAATTAAGGTGAAACTACTTTAGGTTATACAAAGATTTAAGCCTGGATTATCATTTAAAGATGCTGAACACTGTATAAAACATCAATAGTAATTACATTTTATTTACTTCCAAGGGCTGTTCCTGTATAAGATTTATGAGGTGGAGAAAAATATTGTACTTTCAGGAAATTATGTTTTCCAGGAATAAGTTATCTAGGTTTCTTGGGGGGAGGGGGGGGGGTGTTAACCAATCCACACAATAAAATCCCTTTTTTTTTTTTAATTGCAACACAGATAAAAATTACATTTATATTAGAGGTCAAAAGGATGAGAAGATATTTTTAAAAAGCCTTTTTTTTTTTTTTTTAACATAAAAGTATTATCACCTAAAGGGAAAGAAGCTATATCATATTTTGAGTTGAAATTAATCTACTTAAATGGAAGTTGCAGAGCATCATTGACTGAAAGAGGAGTGAAAGGAGAAACTCAGGATCTCTCTTTCCTTATAGGAGGACATTCTTTATTCTGATAAATCCAAGTGTCAAAGATTGATCTCTAAGCGATTGTCCTGGTTTGGGCTGGTATAGAGTTAATGTTTCTTTTTGGTAGCTAGAATAGTGCTATGTTTTGGATTCAGTATGGGGTTTGGTATGAGAATAATGCTGATAGCACACTGATGTTTTCAACTGTTGCTGAGATTTCAAAGAACCTCCAACTGCCCATGTCCTGCCTGTGCTCAGGTGCACAAGAATCTGGGAGGGAGCACGGCCAGAGCACCGGACCAAAATTGGCCAATGAAATATTCTATATCATGTAAAGTCATGCTCAGTATATAGAGGAGGGGAGGCTGGGAAGGGGCTCTCTCTCGCTTCTGGGACTGTGATCACAGGATCTTGGAGTTTTGGGATCACTAGTTGGGGACGGGCTGGATGGCAGTCAGCAGGTGGTGAGCGATTGTATTGAGCATTGTCTGTTTATACTTTCTATTATTGTCACTGGGTTTTTTTATTACCATTATTAAACTGTTTCTATCTCAGCCTGTGAGTTTCCATTTGTCCCTCATGTTCCCTCCCTGACTCCGAGGTGGGGGAGGCTGGGAGAGCGGCTGCGTGGTGTTTGGCAGCCAACCAGGTTCAAACCACAACAGCGATGGTCAGACACCTGGGAAAAACACACTAGCTTCTTTCCATACTGGATAAAGTCATTCCCAACTCTGCAGATTTACTGCTTTGAGTACAGTCAAGGTCTTTGTCTTTCTTGACACTTTTCAGTCAAGACTTTCCTGAGTAGGGTCCTACAGAAATGGAGATATATTTATAGAAATAGCCACCCAGAAGTTAACAAGGAAGCCAATCAGGCCACTGCTGATATATAGATTCCCAAGACCAGCACCCACATTTTTGTCTTGGCAAGCAGCAGTGACAAACACTGACACTGAGAAAACTTATTGGGCATCAGTCTGTGCCACAGGCAGTGACTGGGATGGAGGGTGGAGGACAACCTCTCTGTACATCTCTGTTGCTGAAGCATGTAAAGAAGCAGCAGAAATTCTGGCTTAGAGACATTTATTGGACATGAAAGGGGGGTAAATTCTTTCAAGGACTGGCTTTGCAGCCCTTTGTCACTTCTAGCTTCTACTCTTTCTCAGGTATTTGCATCTGTGCAGTGGTTTCCTTCACTTCAAGGTGTACTTCATAGAGAAGACCAGGGCACACAGTTGAGCAACAATCTTACATCCAGATTACATGCAAAATATCACTTATGAAACCTCCTAGAAATTCAAAATAGAACAAGAAAAACAGAAGAAATGATCCTGTGCAAACAAACATCTTGTGGTCATACTTCTCCAGTAATGCATGTATGTGAAGCTCTTCAGGTGCAGAGATATTCCTTTTAAAACCCATGCTAAAATTAGAAGCTCTCTTTGGTGATTCAGAGCTTCCAGCTTCTTGTCTGATGTTTGTTCCACACAAAAAGAGAGCCCAGCTTTTCAAATGCTTTTTCCCTTAAGTACCTTAACAAAAACCCAGCTGGGTGTAGGAAAACTCAGAGCAATAACCACATTTATCGGTACTCACAAGATCAGATGTCTCTAACCCAACTGTAACTAGGATTTTTCCTGACTGTAGGCTCTAATCATCACTATAAAATTTAGAGCATAAATAAATAATTATAACCCTAATAATATTAGGAGATCTGAGATATAAACCATGGAAACCGTTCTAGTAACTTATGTTTTACTTCATTTTCTCAGGATTCAAAAATAAATAAAAAGATGAGGAAAGCAGAAAGTAAAAACAGAAAAAAATAGCAGGATGCTGCTGCCACTGATGTCTATAGCAACTGGCAGAAATCCCATGCATTTTAATGGGAGTAAGATTTTCAGTTTTTAGTACTTGTGCCCTACATATCTTTTGCCTTCAGCTCTTCTCAACAGCATTGACTACATGATGTTCTGAAAAGTGAACCTCCAAAATTCAGTCTTGGCCTGTTGGAAAGGTTTATTCTTTTTTTTTTTTTTTCTTTAACTTATGCTCAGATTTCAAACATGGGCATAAGGATTATATTTTTATTTTACTACATAAGGGGACTGAACAAGTCTTGATGCTGACAGAACACTTTATGTGATATTTAGCAACAAAGAAGGAAACTCTGTCAGCCCAGAATTCACAGGAGCAGGAGTTGGCTAAATTCATGGCATGGTGTGGGAAAATTACCTCAACACTGTCTACTTTTGCTGATTTTTCCTTATGCTGACACTTCTGATGCCCTGAAAGTTGCTGTGCTCACATCCTCTGCTGCTGGTGTCAAAGAACACTCTCAGTCTTCACATGCCAAGATGAGGAAAACCTATTGCAATGCCCAAAAGACTTAACTCCTGTCAAATATATTCATTTAACACAAGCACTCTGGTCTATGGCTCTGAAGTCTTAAAGTGATGGCAAGAAGGAGGAAGGAAGATAAAAACAGGCAGTAGCTTTAAAACAAAATATATGAATAGGTAGAGATACTCTGGTTCAGCATAGGAGAAAGAGACAAAAAGTATTAGCCACAAAAGCAGAATTAGGTTTTTAAATTAGTAGTGAACAAAAAGGATTGTACGCACTCCTACTGAAAAATAATAACTGAAAAAACTCCCTAATGTGAAAAAAGCCTACTTGATCATACACTTGAAAATACAGTCTTTCTTGTGTCTAGACTTCACCCTGAAGAGCACTACCATCACTTGGGTCACTTTCAGACGTTAGTGCAGAATTAGAATTGTTAAGTTCTGCATGAATACAAATAAAAAATAAAGTTGTTCAGCTATTCTGGGTAGAGGTTTCACTTAAATTTTTTTCTATTCTTGTCAAGATTATAGAAGCTCAATGCATAGTGAAATATCTTCATCCAGTGTTACTGATTCATTAGGCTAAACAACAACCCCACTCCACACCTTTTTCCTCTCCATTTCATTAAGTTCACACGTATGGGAATAAAACACTTGCAGAACAGGTCCAATAGCAAGCCAGTCATGTCAGGCTCCTAACTCTATGATGTTATGAGAATATATTACTATACACATTCTCTATACAGTAGATAATCCCACTGATGTTAGCATCCCCCTTCACAGGTCTCTCCAAAGTAAACAGAATAGAATCGAATCGAATCGAATCGAATCGAATCGAATCGAATCGAATCGAATAGAATAGAATAGAATAGAATAGAATAGAATAGAATAGAATAGAATAGAATAGAATAGAATAGAATAGAATAGAATAGAATAGAATAGAATAATAGAATAGAACTGAATTGCATTTAATTTTGAGTTGGAAGGGATCCATGAGGATCACTGAGTCCAACTCCCTGCTCCCCGCAGGACTACCTAAAACTAAATCAGATCAGATAGGCCATTTGTTTGGCTTACCACATCCACCAACTGGGTTGCATTTGGGCTTCATAATTATAAGGCCCCTATCCCACTGCTTTCATCATCACGCTTCTAAGATTGCCACCTAAATTTACTATTTGCTTTTCAGTTAACACAAACAAATGAGTACAAAATTTAAGAATAGGTATAGTCTTAAAAAATGTCAAGAAATGTGATGAAGCTGCAAGAAAAATACCTAGCAATATTTGCAAGACAGGTGAAATTATCTATCTATCTAGCCCAGGAAGTGTCATCTGAAGCTTTGCATGTACCTCTGAGTCCTCATGTTGGAGAGAAGCGGACCAGCTGGAGTGCAGTGTGAATAATCAGGCCGGTAAGGAGAGCCTGAAGGAACTGAGTATGTTTAACCTTAAATCAAATAAAATGGAAGGAGGCACTTGAGCTTCGACTGTAGTGTGGAAGAGAATAATCTATTTGCCAAGTCCATTCTGGGTGACAAAGGAAGCAATAGACTTAAATTTCTGCAAGAAAAAGTAATTGTAATGAAACACTGGACTAGATTTGCTGGGCAACAGTGAAATTTCACCCACTGAGGGTCTTTCAGAGCAGGCAGGACAAATATGAATGACATAGGTATACAATGATTCTGCACGGGGGGCCGTAAAATTTGTGACCACACAAAAAAAAAGCACTTTCACATTTTTTATTCTTTAATCATTTATTCTTGAGGAGTAACATAAGAAAGATTTCAATGGTCAGGATGGACTGAAGGATCTGTTTCTATCTCTCATTACTGCCCTTTCCCCCTTCTCACGCATTTTCTTTCCCATAAATTATCCCATAAAAGGAACCATTTATTGTCCTTTGCAAAATACCATAAAGTACTGGTAAAGTATTAGCTAGGTCTGAATGGCTCTTATTTGCACAAGCAACATTTATAAATAAGATTTTTGCAAAATATCTACATTTTAGACATTTTCCAATACAGGTGTATACTGAGGCTTCTGATTTTTTTCCCACCCATTTTATTCTCAGAAAAGTGCAACAAAAGAGATGGTAGTAAAGGAAAATTTCTGTGGACTGCCATTCAAATCAGTAGACACCCAGAGCATTTGTATTTGCTTGGGGATTATCAATACTTTCCATATAGCCAGAGAAGTAATTTTATAAAGAGTGAAGGTATTTTTACTGAAAATTTATTTTCCAGAACACATCACAAACTGTTTTATGGATCCTAAGACTCACAGTACACTTGCAGGAACTTTTGAAACAAGATCATGAGAAGATATAATGAGAAGTGTTAGAGGAAAAGAAAAAAAAAATAACAGAGAATCAAAATATATTTTTGAAGTATGGAATTTTGTGAGATTTTCTCTAAGACAAAGAATTTGAGATTTGAGACAATTACAAGGTAGATCTGTAGAGTAGATGTAAAATCTTCTAGTCTTGCTCATATGAAAAAACTAAGATACATTTGATGTGAACAACCCATTTAGATTACAATCACAATTAAATATATCAGTTGAAGACACAAAAAGACAAGCAAGCCTGATACCTCTGAAGGGTTGTGCTGCTGGATTTAGCCCATCCAACATTTCACCAGGGAAACATTAACAGGTGTATATTCTTTTTTAATATTTAACCACTGAATATAAGAATTTCTAATTTAATATTAAATGTAAGATTTCACCCTGGTCTTGTTTTAGTAAGGAACTTCTTGGTCCTTCAAAACATTCCTTCCATTAAGTAATCATGGTATTGTACCTCAGTATGTTTGTCTTTCTTCAGATATTCTCTACAATTAATACACCAAAGGGAGTCAGTACAGCAAAGGCAATGCAACATTTCCTGGTATCGTCTATTTATCTAACATAGAACTGGAAAGATTTTGAAGGCAACAGCAAAAATTCAGACAGAGCAGGGCCTGGCTGCCAGTTATGCACTGGCTGTATTTGTTGATTCCTTAATTCATCAGGAATCTTAGTCTCCTCATACTGCCTCTGTGCACAAAGTTGGGTTTGAACCGCTCTTGTGCTATGTTGTTTTTCTCTTCTCTTCTTGTTGTATTTGTTCTGAATACTGAAGCATTTTTAAAAATACTAAAAAGAGCATACAAACACACAACTAAGCCCAAAAAATCAAGCATGGCACAGTAGGAGAAGAAAGCTTCTGGGGAGAGAAAGCAAAGCTGTGTGACAGATGGAAAGGTCTCAATGGATGAATGGTACTACTACAAATAAGTAGCAGGCAGCCAGAGGGAATCAAATAACGATTATAGAAGAAAAATGAGGGTTAAAAAAATGGGGTAAAAAACCTTTGGCACTGGCAGAAAATTCTAGAGTAGCAATGCATAATTTTTTTTTTTTAAGGGAGATTTAATTATATGCTCTCTACAAACAGGGAAATCAGTAAAGACAAAGAAGCTAGGCAGCTGACAAGTGAGCCAGTGTGGACAGTATAAAAAGCTCAACATGTCCTTGGAGAGGAAGGAATGTACTCCAGGATTCGGTCTGGCATGCCCCCAAACCTGAACAGATTACTTTCTGACGATCAATACCTGTAACCACCAGAGGCCTGTTGCAGAGTTTTTTAAAAAAAAAAAGAAAAAAAGAAGAAAAGGGAAGAATTCAGCTTCAAAGAGACCTGGTCCCAAGCTCACATTTTATTTTTGCCACTGGGTGCTGAGGTAAGAGATTTGGACGAGGCTCATTTTTCATCTCTTTATAGGGCTGTGGATTGAATATGAAGTGTTGCGGCATGTTCTCAGGGCTTTGCTCCGTCGGTTTCCTGTCCTGGAGAGGAATGCTTTCAAGATGACCAAAGCTGCTATCAGATCTTTCACAACAGCCTGATTAATAAGTCTCCTTTAATATCCATGACTCTTCACCCACCTATAAAGGAAAAAAAGAAAATACTTATTGTTTTCTTCATTTAAGTTTTTTTTTTTACTTTGGAGAGAGCTAGAAAAGCCAGAAAGGTTCTTTGTGTTATTGGTAATGTCACTGATCAGCAGTTATATCCAAATACAGCTTAGCTGTTTTACAGAAGAACAGTAGGCACATTTTCATGTACTGTAGTATGCCTCAATAGAAATTAAGCCTAAGATCTTTCCCCATAATATAATTTAATCACAAAGAGATGTTAAAAAAAAATGCTTTTAGAAATTACTATGAGTACAAAGCAATAATTCATACATGTTTCTGGAGTCACAGAGAGTTCTGTACAATTTGATGTCTCCTATTACAATTCTGCCTTTCCCTCTCTCACATTGTAGCTTAATTTTCTTTTGTCTTTCTCCCATTCATTTTTCAAATACTGAAAGGCAATGCACACTTTCCAGGAAGCACTGATGCAATTTATTTTTTTGCCCATCTGACTCAGGTTGTTGAAAAGGACCTATCTGAATAAGGAAAAACAAGACAGAAAGGAACAGAAAATCTAAGCAGCTTTTTAAGGAAACAGCCATAAATGGGGGGGAAAAGGGGGGGGAAAAAAAATAAAGAAAGAGAAAAAAAAAAAAAAAAAAGAAAGAACTGTATTATTAATAGCAAACTCCAGGATGATGGATGAAAAGAACAACAATATCCTTTAATCATAAAGCACTAACATTCCAGCAGTGCTGGTAAGTGAGTGGAGCTGTGAAACCATTTGAGACTTAAACAGATGGATTAGGAAAGGTTCCACTGTGGGTTCCTGGACAGATTTCAAAACAGCAGCCTGATTAACTAATGCACAAAAAGCAAGTGATTCTTCCAATCAATAAGCTTTTATGTAAGCATATTTGAGTTATAATATTTAAACACAGCAGACAAGTGGGGAATGAGGAATTCCTCATGCTGGGATAACAAAGCAGTAAGTTTTACTTGAATCTGGAGATCTCTTTTTTCCAGCAACTCTCAAAGGGAATTTATAGCTAATGTTGTCACCACATGTTCATCAATATATTAACAGCTCCTGACGGTTTTGTGAAAATGATGGTGAGTTCCAAGTAAAAAAGCTGCTTTTTTTTTTACAAATTTTTTTTTTTAAATAATGCGGTTTTGGAAGAAGTTAATTAGATTTTCACTGAATGATGGAAACTACACATAAAAATTAATCATTGACTAACTTTCCTAGTAAGCACGCTTTCTATAAATAGATAGTGGAATCAAAACCCCAGGTCATAGGGGGTCATGCCCTTCAGCATGAATAACATATTTTTTCTAAGTATCAAATAGAAAAGGAAAATGGTAATGGTTTTCTATGGAATTTCTATGGAATTTTTAAGGAATTATTGGCAATGAATTCTATGTCTCGTTCTCTCTCATAAGTGCACAGAGTTGCATCTAGGAGTATGGTATTTTATAAAGGTGTCTAAAAGTGACCTAAAATAGATTTTTATATAAGATGGTATTATTATAAGACCTAATATCTTGTAATGTTCCAGGGATAGAAACAGATACCAAAAGTGAAAATTTCAGACTTCAGTATGATACTTGGGTATCTGGGCCATGGTCTCTAGTACTCCATTTATACCAGAATCAAGAGAGATGCAGATTTATACTGATTAAATATCTAGGTTTACCTTTCCAGCTGAGATATGGCTACAGGATATTTGACCTTAAACCTGACATTTACCCAGACAGGAATTTTGCCTATTTTGTGTCATTTAATATTCTTTAGGTTTTCACATTTTTCAGTAGTTAGTGGGTTTTCAGACGTAGTACATTTGAGACAGACAAGTAAGCAGAAGACAAATAAGATAGATAGTCAGAAGGTACATAGTAAAAGCACTTTATTATATGACTCTGTGATATCACAGGACTCTTCATGGCTGTCACCAAATTACATCCACATGTAAAAAAAAAAAAAAAAAAGGAAAAATACATTTAACTTACACAAGCCAGAACCAGTAGTATATTGTGGAAGCATGTATTGAATGTGAATCTCTGCTTAGCTTAGCTAATCCATGAACCCAAATGGAGTTTCAAGAGATTAATAAGGAAAATGATTAGTTCAGGATCAACACGCACATTTGAAGAATGCATCCTTAGAGCCTTATAACTCAGTCAGATCAAAACAGCTTTTAATAGGACTAATGAAAGACACACCTGGAGTTTAAGGACTATGCTGCTACCCAATTTGCTCTCTTTTCCACTCTGAAAAGTTGTCCCAAGGTTAGAACGAGTTTTCACAAGGAAATACTTTACTATCAACAATTTTTGAAAATGAGCAAGGAAATTCATCAGGTTTCCCTTAGTTTCATGCTATTTTCAGCCAAAAAAAAACCCTAATATTTGACTAAGCAAGAAAGAACTTTTCAGTTCTTCATTCTTTTAAGATGTCATTGGTTTCTTGCCTGCTAGAGGCCAGTTTGTAATTGCCTGTTGTGAAGTCTCAAGGACTTTGCTCTGGCCTGGAGTATTACACAGTTGTGGCGGTGGGACTGAGCCTCTTTCCATCAATGAGTTTGGACTCCAAGACCTGCAGAGCTGTTGGCTTTCCTGGCTCCCCGCTAAATTGCCCAGCTAGGTCCTCTGCTTACTACATGTGTAGGTCTGAATACATGTATATATTTGCCTTGAGGTTTACAGTGGAAATGTTCATAAATTGAAAAAGGATATTGAGGAGTAAAATGCCTGCAGTCCTGAAACCAGTAATAAGTCTATTAGTCTACAGTATAAGAATAGTGTGTTTCAGTCCCTGGGGTATGACCCTCACAGGATGAAATGTCATTGTCAGAGTGACTAAACAGTTGACAGAAGCATGTAGTAAGCCCGTAGTATTCAATAAAATCCTCTGAAGGTATCAGAGAGAGATCCTCCCAATTTTCTGAAAAGGTTTTTCACCTTTCTCAGAATATAAACCTCTTTTTCCTTCTCATTCTGCATATCAGTCATAACCCCAAAGTCCTTCTTCTTTTCCTCTTCCCAAGCCTGAACTTCAGACTGGGAAAGGAAGAAGAGGAGAAGGGTGATAAGAAATCCCATTCATGCCTTTCCTCTGGGCCAGGTTGTCACTAACTCAATCCCCACCAACAGCATACGCAGTGTATAGTGTTTGGAGCAATGGCAGCATAAATTCTCTCTGCTTTTTCTAGTTATTCAAATTCTGTGACATTTTGTGACGATCTGAGGGCATGTTTACAAGCAGTAAAAATACACTGATGTCATGAATAGACTACAACCCAGATGCTATGATTCAACTTCAGCTGCCAATTACTGCTATTCTGAATACAAACAAATCTGAAAGTAAAAACATTAAATTAAGGACATAAAATACATTAAGCAGAAAATTTTGAAGCATTATCCTATTTCTATTTTAAGGGGCACTACAGATTCCAACAAAGGAAAAGAGTTCTTACCCACAATTAAAACAGTAAATAGTATTATACTCTATGTAGCTCCTAGGAGTGCAGTCCCCCACAGTTATCTGTGGGATGCTTCACACTGACACAGTAGGGCAGTTCAACATTTCAACCTTTTACTGTAAAAATTAACGTGTTTTATCTAATGCATTTTCAACTCTATTCACAGAAGCCCACATTGCATGAAATTCACAGGCCACCACAGAGAGAAAATAATTCTCCCTTTTGGTGCACCACTGAGGAATGCTAAAAATAGTTGAACATACTATGAAAAAAAAAAAAAAATCTCCTTTGGGGACCACGGTGTCTTTGCCTCACTAGAGAGAAGAAAATAGATATGCATATACTTGTACAATTACATCAAATTTATTTATACAATACTAAGCAGGTAAGTAGTAGTCTACATTTGGGAGAATCCTGAATCTCAAACCTACCTAATTATTATACTTCCTGTCTATTCCAAATGTAGAAGAATAGTGCTTTAGTTTCAATTGCTGAGTAACTAATAGCAGTTGTTACTTCCATTTACTGTGAAAGCATATTAAATACCAACCTGTGTAAGGATCACATAATTTTGTGTGATATATAAAGATATATGTGCACATATCTAAATGCAGATGCACTTATATGCAGATGTGAGTATACAACTTTTTGCTACAAAGAAAAAAGTTTCCTCACTGTGTCTATATCTCGTTAGCTGACTTCAGCAGGTGGTGTAGCTGTGTGGAATCCTGCACCAGTGGGCTAATGCTAACATAGAGAGGTTGGATTGATTTGAACACAAGACAACTTCAGGACAAAGGTTTTTCATTAAATCCCTGCCAATTAGCCCTAAAAATTACACTGGTGACCTTGGAGACAGAACTGGGAGTTTTCCTCAGTGGGAGCAATAGATATATGAAACTGTTAGAGTCCTGATGTGCATATATACACAGATCTCGACACTTTGCCCTGCTCTAATCTCTTCTGAGTTATTTTTAGGAATATTTTAAAGTAAGATGTTGCAGCAGTAAGACCAGGTATAGTATATTTCATCTTAAACTATATCTACATACTAGAATATATGGGAGAGGCATTGAATGAAACTTTTATAAACAGCGTAACAAATTTATCTGAAGTCAAATAAAAGAGGTGTATGTTCAGTACTGGATGTGGTGAATTTCTTTTTGGATGCTGTGTGCTTTAACAGCACTTTATTCCTGCTTATATGCCTCTGAGTGAAAACAGTTTTATTAGATGTTGCAGCAGACTTCAGATTATATCCACACAAACAAACAAGATATTACTTGGTGCCAAAACATTTGTATGTGTACTGAACAATCATCATTACAGCAGTCAACATTAAGCATTCAGAAATGGTTAACACTCAGAAGCATTTAGGTAACTACAGATTTCCCATTGTCTAAAAAAGAAATGAGGTTTTATAACTGTTTTTCATCTACCTACAGAAATTTGTTTTTTTCCTATTTATAAAAGCACTGTGCTTATAGAGAAGATACCATCAATTTATCTTTGAAAAAAGGATATTTAGTAATGGAAATGCTG